TCAGACGCGCATTGGATGATACAGATCGGCCACCAGACCGGTTGGAAAGAATAGCCAGGCTAAAGTATGTATATCATACCGTATCTACTTACAAACAGGCGCTTTCTATGACTACGAATGGCTGAACCGTGCAGCAGGCTAGGATGCAATTCAGTGGGTCATTAGCATGACCCCGAACGGCTGACAATCCGTAACGCCGGCAAGGATGATAGAGGAGCGAGTGCGTGGTAAAACCCGAAATGACAACGTGAGCTTTACATAATTTTAAAACGCACCTTGTCTTGACTAAAAGCCGCCTACATGAGACATCTGCATGAGAGCCCCTGGCACAACTACACGAGAGCTCCTGCCACGTCTACATGATATCTTTTGGCGCACCTGCACGAGAGCTGGCGCATCTGCATGAGAGCTCCTGGCACATCCGCATGAAAGCTCCTGGCACATCTGCACGAGAGCTCCTCGCTTGTCGGCATGAGAGGTCCTGGCACATCTGCACGGGAACTCCTGGCTCATCCGCACGAGAACTGCTGGCACATCTGCACGAGAGCTCCTCGCATCTGCATGCGAGCTCCTGGCACATGTGCACCACAGCTCATCGTTCATCCGCAAGAGAACTCCTCGCACATATGCACGAGAGCTCCTCGCACACTGCATGTGAGCGCCTGGCACACCTGCATGCGAACCCCTGGCACATGTGCACGAGGGCTCCTGGCTCATCCGCACGAGAGCTCCCGGCTCATCTGCATGGGAGCACCTGGCTCACCTGCACAAGACAAACACCGACCACCAGCGTCAGCAACGCCAGCCACTGCAGCGGTCGCACGCGCCGCTTCAGCATCACCGACGACATCAGGGCTGTCACCAGGATCTTGAGCTGGTACGACACCTGGCAGGCGGCCAGTCAGCGACATCAGTCCCCACAAGGAAACATCAGTCGAACGGTTGGGAACATCTGTCCAACCGCCCAGCCATCGGCTCGCGCCGATGGACGCTGCAGGCATTCGACCTCTTGTTCACCAATAGGATACCATGCATAACTTAGGTTACGCATGGAGAAGGGGGCGGGAGGGGAGTGAGGCTCTGAAGTTACACGCTACGTAAATGTAACAGGGGGGAGTTTTGAAGTTTTGATGAGACCATTACGTTTTGATGCGTTTGGTAATCATGCTAAGAAGGTAAATAACGTTACCCGCCTCTCATGACAAGCAACACGTAGCTTTTTGTTTATCACCCGTAGCTCAACTAGGGGTGGACAGACGTCATCCTCTTGAGACGTTATCCTTAACACAGCGCGACTCGGGAAGGGAAGCCGCCTAGTGACCAGTGCGTAGCCAGGGTGAAGACGTTGAAAATATGTCAAAAATGGGGAACGTAATTTATGACCTACCCCGTACAGCGGGCTTGTGCTTTGGCTAGATATGCATGCAGTAAACGGGTCATACAGAGTCAACGGCTGGGACCCACGGGCTTACACAATGCATAGCAACATATGTCAATGCCATCCGGGTGTCGTCATCGTTCATGACATCGTACTTGAAAGATACCCTAAACGTAGTCAAATCTAAACTAACTGGTTCCAATATCAAGAGATAAGTTTTAGGCATAAGCAGATACATTGTTGAAAGGATGTGAATTAAAACATTCAGAGCTCATAACGTCCAATGGCCAGAACGTCCAGAATCGCAGCATCCAGAGTTCACAACATCCAGAATTGTTCAATGTCCCTGGACACAGGACAAACAGAACATTCAAGCGCACAGCCTTAAAAGTTCATAACTAGCGCTCAAAATATCCAGTGCGTGAGATCCAGGGGTGGGATACTGTACCACTTCCTCGCAATCCTTAACATATTGATTTGGATGTTGCCCTTTAGATCGCTATCGTTACCAAATTCGCTCGTCTATGTCGACGAGTAACGGCGTAGGGTACAGTGCAGCCCAGTTTAAACCACTGAGCATGGACATGGACAGCGTTTTGTTTATGCACGCAAACTTTGCAGCGTCAGCACGTCTTGGCAGCAGGCGTATTAAAGAATTCAAAACTTACTCTCTGGCTCGTGGCATGGAAGATAGGTGGCTACTTGGCAGAAGCTGCACGGTGGTCGTGGATATATATATATATATATATATATATATATATATATATATATATATATGCGTGTATCCTTACATTTGCTTATCACTGGGCATGCGGCTAATGCATGCATCAGATTTCGCACCAAGCAGTGGTCCAGAACCACTTAAGACAAAGGGCTTTTGTGTCTTAAGGCGATCGGATTTGTTGTAGGAAATTAGCTTCCGTGCGTGTCCTCGTTCACTTACGACAGCCTCATGGCAGGGCAATACAATACATTTTCAAAAATAATCATATCTCGAAAATACTCACATACCCAATACTTACATGCATATATATATATATATATATATATATAATATATATATATATTATATATATATATATGCATGTACTCGCGATTGACGACAAGTTTTTAGATGCACGTTTCGCTGAAGATGACTGCATATGGTGTAATTTTCTATTTCTTGTGAAGATTTTCTAGCCTCCAGAACATCTGGCGAGTTATGATGGGGGATATAACGGGAGAGCTTTGGCACCCACAGAACGGAGCGCAAAAGTGTGGATTCATGTTATGGTACGCTCAGAAAATATGTGGCTGACAGTAATATCCATTCTGTATGTGTGTGTGCTGTGTATGCGTAAATCCCTATGCTCGCTGCATTTTTTAACTCTAGTCTGATTTACCGTTTTGCATGCCTCGGACTGAAAGGCGGACAAGGGGTTAATGCGACCCTTCCCCTGGCGTTGCCAAACTAATAAATAAGTAGCTTAGCCGAGAACACAATCATTTATTCTGAACACGATCTCACAATTGGTACTAGCTTTCACGTTGTTGGCAGGCCAGAAGTAGAATTTTCCTGAAAACCGCAGTTTTTAACTTTACGAGACCATGCCTTTTGGCGACATGAACTTAAATTGGCGTGTGTCTAGTTCGATCCTGAGCACATTCTGTAGTACAATTCTGCTGCCCCGTCGCCCAGCCATCCGTAGATCGCCATGGAGTGTTTATCACAGACTGCCGCTGCTCCGAAACCCGAATCTAGGAACACGTTTTCATGCCAAAACACGTGCCATAATCGCCACCTATCATGGCGATGTTAAACGTCATGCTATTGGTACGCCGGGTATTGGCGACAACTCTTGTGAAACGAAAATCACCGTTTTGCTATAAATATTAACTGAAGCCATGCGGGCAATACAGGCAAAACACTGTTTGCTTCCTTCCATATTTGCTTGCTCCTGGCTCGACCTCACGCTGAGCCCGTCTTAAGACCAACCCCCTCTCAACAAGTTGTGATCTGTCCGTGGGCTGGTGCCGAGAGGATCCGATGCTCGACAAACTTTCCTCGTTCGAGCAAATACAGCTTTTTCATTGACGCGCCAGACCATTCGCACGCGCTTGGCGACAGGCAGGTTGGCGGGAATGAAAATAGGCCGAACGATTAGCCCATCGACCCTATTATCCCGTGATCGACCAAGGCTAACGATCCCTGTTACCGCGTCAGACAAGCTGCAGTGCACGCATGAGACCGCGGGAAATATGAGAAAGAAAGGGGTATGCAATGTGGAAATGATCATGATAGTTTCAAATATGCTCAGCTCCTTTCATCGCTCGTTAGTTCTTTCGGTACTGTATGCAGGAGCACACAGAAAGCTTACGGCAAGCCCAGTGTGTGTGTGCTGCATGTTAAAAATGCTCTTGAAACGGGAGACGCAATAGTGCAGGTGTTAGGCGACTAGCAGCCGTCCGCACATAGCAACACCGCGACAAACGTTAGCGTGTTATGCTATGGTAGGTATTTAGCGGATACGTCGCCAGCAGGTAGCAGAGTGGCGGCAGGTCCCGCCACTTCAAGCGGCGGCAGGTTTTCTCTGATGCATGTCCTGGTTCAGATAACAGCATACTGTGCGTTTGTGTTTCTTCTCGCGTTTTTCCAGCCTACGTATATCTCGCGAGTTATGAACGGAGTTACATGATGGGAGATATGTGTAACCCAGCAATTTGCGTGCGAATGTGTGAGCTCATATAATGCAATGCCCAGAAATGTGGTTGATGGTGTATGTGTAAGTGTATTGTCGTACGCATATGTAAGCACCTACTCTCGCTGTGTTTTGCGTTATGCTATTGCTGCATTGGATATCGGCATGGTGTCGTGGAAAGATAATCCTTATTTTGCTGATAATTGCAACAGTGTGAGACAATGTTTGGCTCCTTCCACATCTACTGGCCTTTTGCTTGACCTCACACTGACCCCGCCTCCAAAAACCAAGTCCCACGCGACAAGTCGTGACCTGTCTGTGGTCCGGCGGTGGACGATTACGGCGCTTGAGAAACTCAAAGCAAGAACGTTCCCGACCCGACCAGTTAGAACATTTTCATCCATGCTCCAGACACCACCCACTTCACGGCGGGCTGGTTGGCGCGGACGAAAACGGCGCGAAGGGTCAGGAGATCCGCCAAGGCAACCGATGGCCGTAACTGCGTAAGTACGGCTGCCACGAACCTGACTTTGCATGATACCGAAGGAAGTATACCCACGACACAGGTATATATAATATGGATGTGATAACAATAACTTTTTAGGATGGACGGTTTTCTTCAACGTTTTACCAGGCCTTTGGTAACGGAGGTAGGTACACCGTGCGCTCAGGGAAAGAGCGGCAGAGAGTACTTTTTTGCGGTGCTTATTGTAAATGCCCTTGAAACGGGGAGGACGCGATAGAGAAGGCAATAGGTGTCTAGCAGCGGACCGTATGTAGCAACACGGCGTGCGTATCCGTTCGCGTGCGTACATGACCTATTGGTGGGTATCTGTTGACTTGAAGGAAACATGCGCTTCGAGCCTGGGTGGGGTAAGTTTAGAGGCAGCATGGCCAAGTACACACATGTCTCGTGCGAAGGAGGTGCCAGCTACATGACATGCACAAATAGCACTTTTCGGAACACTGAATGGGACTTTTGCGGTCATAAACACAACACGGTATATACTCAGACCCACGCGAAAAAGCGACATAACTGGGGCCTACGCATGGAGCCGAATGATTAATCGAGAAATAATGAGCTACGCATTGAGGCGGTGAGGCGTGTCTTATCAAACCGACCTCAACCAATGACGGAACCAGAGTGGTGGGGTGGCGGGGGGGGGGGGGGGTAGGGGGGTGCGGGAATGGGTCGTTTGCTCCCCGTCCCCTGGGGCGAGGGGATAACACAATATCATGGTGATGGGGAACCGAATCCTCATTTCGGATTCACGTAACCTTTATTTTCAAGACACCAACATTTTAGGGACACCGCAAGCTGACCACCTAAGTTCATTTTCGTGAGGTACTAAAACCCGGGACACAATAACCGGCCCCAAAACCTTCGTTCTCCAACGGCACCAAATTTCAGGGACACCAGTAATGTTGCGCCTCCCACCCTGCAAAAAAATCCTGGATTGGCCCCTAACTCTCATCTCAGGGCACCACGACCGTTCTTTTAAAGAGACCCTTTGTCGAAGAGGGCGACTCAACTTCCCAAGGCTTTGGTTTTAAAAAGAGATCAAAATCCATGGCCACCATAATAGGTGTGCCTTTTCCGTGGCGAAATCCTGAATCAACCTGTTCCACAAGCGAGTACCAGCAAACTTCATCACCGGACATCATGGCTTTTATTTTCCAGAGGTTTCACAATAACTATATTTGCAACTTGTATGCAGGAATCTGTCTTACTTTGCGGCGCACTAGAAAACCAGGAGTGCAACGTGCGCAAATACATGGAGCTTGTTAATTTTCTCACGATCATGGTGGGTCATGTCATTTTGGGGTTAAGTATTTCAGAGAAAAAATGGCAAAATGCACTGAAATTAACTGCAAAAAACACCATCAAAATGAAGCGCAAATTTGATTCCTAGATCATATACGGCTAGCCGACTAGTTGATGCCATCACCTGATAGCTGATCAGCTGATAGCTGATGACTAATGCAGAGTTTTTGCTATGGATATTGCAAAGGAGTAAGCATATCATAACATTCAAATGTATTAAACGTAACGTTCAAGTATAAAAACTGTTAAAAATTCAATAACTGTTCGGCAAATACACATACATGCTCCTCGGCGTAATGGGCGTCCGGCGCAAATTCATTCAGCAGTCGGTAAGACGTCAAGCCCGATCAAAATTAACAATATTTAGTACCTCCTACCGATGTAGGTCCTCCTGTAATATAGGAAAATCCAAGACCAATAGGGATGGAACCTGAGCGATCGACGCTGCAGCGGCAGGCCAACAAAGACGCTTCCGTCAACAGTGAAGGGTACTCATAGCAAGTGAGAACGTAACACCAAGACGGTGGAGCCCCTGAATGATCGGGAGTTCCCCCCGCAGGCTAACATAAAAGGTCCGGCCAGAGCACAGGATCCTCTGAGAAAAGGGAGAATAACCAGGACCAGTGTGCACGAATGAGTGCCCCTGCGTGATCAAGGGTGCCCGGGCAGGTTAACAGAGAGGGCTATGACAAGAAAAGGATCTTCAGCAAATGAACTGAAAGGGAAAGAGCCATTGATCGATGCAGAGGGCCCCTGAGCATCGAATGCTTCGGTGCGTTACCTTACGTGGGCTCCAGCAACAGCGCAGGGTCCTCCTAATAAGCGGAAAGAACCCAACGCCAATATGAAGGGCCCCTGAGCAACCGAGTGTGTATATGGGGCCAGGTAGCAGCGGTGGGGCGGGAGAGCCTGCCTCGCGGGTGCAGCGGCCCCGGCCGAGCCCGCGCCGGCTGCCACGTCTCCGGCCGGCGCGCCCGCGCTCAGCCTGACGGCGAGCCCCGAGGCGCGACTGCGCCCGGGCCGGACATGGTCACCAGGCGTCCAGGTGATTCATGGAAATAACGCTCCACTGTACCTATCACGTGATCATCGGTGGAATGCCAAGTTGACTATGACATCCGTTTACAAAAGACGGAAATCGCAGCAGGAGTCGAAAGAAATGTGCTACTGTACTGCCATCTAGCGGCATGAATATAAACTAACCTAGATGTGAAAGCTGGATGCTAGAAACGCTGGATGTTACGACTTTAGATGTTGCGCACTTGGACGCTATAAACGCCGCTAATGGGCACAGGACTGGACACGTGCTGAATGCTATGAACGCTGGATGTTGCGATCTTGGATGATATGAGCACTGGACGCTACAATCTTGAACGTTTTGATGGCTCCCCGGTTACGGCTACGACACCACCTTGTACTACAATACGGCCATGAGTTCAACACAGCACATCAAGGTCAAAGGTTCCTAATGTGGTCTCCCATCCACGTTTATGAACACATGCTGCAGTGACTTCATACCAGGACAAAAACCCGTGTGTCGCGCGCTGAAGTGGTATCCCCGTGGCCAGATTCCAACGTCAGTTATACCACTTCTCCGGACGTGTTCAACCACAATTTCATTACAACATTGCTGTTGCGGCCTTCAAATTTACATTTAGCGGCTGGTAATCCTAAAGTTCCGCTTGTATGAAGTCATGAGAGATGCAGTCCCAGAAGCCCTGGTTTGACCTTCAAGAGATGTTCAGATCAGTTCAAGAGCTTGCTTGACCCGACGATGATGATGATGATGATTCGAGCTTAAGGGTGCGTCGGATGCCCTGGTCATATGGCGTAGAGCTTGTTTGACCATTTCGCGAATACGCATACAAGAAAGTAAGTGTTCATGACTCTACTAACGACTCTATTTCCTCGGGGGGGGGGGGGGGCGGGCAAACTATTCCTGCAGGGCATGATACAGCCTGACTCATACATCATGGCGTTCACGAGTAAACTGGATGAAGGTGTACGAGTAAACTGGATGCAGGTTAAGCTCCAGACAATCGATAGAAAGCAAAATGATGCACTCAATTCACACGTCAATACGATCTGTACACCCAACTCCCCTTACCTGGAATGTCGGAGCGTCCAGGTAGGTGAGCGCCACAAACACCAGGTTGTTCTGGATGGTGTACAGGAAGCTGGGCACGGCCAGAGGCAGGGTGTGCCACGGCTGGCCCAGCACCTCTCGCCGGAGCACGGCAGCTGTCTGAGACGCAGAGCTCCCTGCGCGCACAGACAAGCTCAGCTGCGCGTCCGACACGCGCACTCGAGCTCACAGCCGGCTTCGGTGACCGGCGACTGCCAGTGGCGGTGCCGTGTCACGCCTGGCCGGACGGTTGCATTCAGCGCTGTCCCGGGCTTGGTCGCGTGACGGAATATGGCGTCCGGCTGCTGGCGCGATCTTTATTCACATTCGGAGGAACGCGGTCACGCATATTCCGAGGAGTGTTCACGAGGTGCTGAGATTCTTGTTTTTAGCAGTCTAATGTGTGGTACACGATGGCAACGTAACAGCTACAAGATTTAATATTCGTGCCACTGGCAGGAGTATATGTGGAGACACTTCACGTGAGTTTTTTTTTTTAAATACCGACACACTTCAACCGGCTAGACCAAGGCTATCCAACATGAGGTTAACATAAGCTACATAAACTTCCGGGATCTCCGGGGGTCAAAATGACCACCTCCCCCCCCGCACCCTCTCCGCACCCGAGCGAGGGGCACACAGCCGGCAACCCGGGCGCGTGTTAAGCTTTCCATTATATTTTATAGTTCACCGAAGATATAACTTTCAAAACTCACCTGAAGGGGCATATCCGCCAAATTACAGTCCATATAGCGACCTTTTTATGACCTATAGTATCGCTTCAAGTTTGAGACTGCAGTCAACAGCGTACTGTTTAAAAGTCCGATTAGATATGACCAATCATTTTGTGAGCAGCACTGAATTCATTTGCCATAGTGTTCTGCATTCAGCGGGTCAAAATGAATGAATTTGCAGGCCGGGCAAGGTAATGCAAGGCCGGGGAAGTTAATTTGCGCGTCAACGGCCATGCCCCGTCATCCATTTTGACACTCTAGCGTAATACATCTAGATACATGTTTGCAGGTCAACCATTGCAGACCCAAAGAAAATTGGTAGAAAACTTGGTAGCTTTTAAGTAATTAAGAACAATAACTTCACCAAATGATTCCACAGATTAATGTATGAGAAACAAGTCAAAGCAATCGCAGCGCTGCTGCATGGTTTCTCTTACCATTTTCCAGCCAGAGAATCTGCAACACCACACAGAACTTGATGGTCTCAGTGAGTAGTACTGCTGTGCTTGCGAAGTATGGCGCACCTGAGGAATTGACACGCGAGTAGCGCATGGCCAACACCAGAGCAGTGGTCTGCACGGTGATCACCATTAGCGCCAACCACTTCAGAGATAGGGCTCCCATGTCTGACCTGTGACGGAAAATGTAACGTTAGCAACACAAACATGCGTTTCAAACAAACAGTTTCCAACAATGTCAGCGCCCAGAAAACCAGACGGCTTTCCTGCCTGTGTACAAAAGCTGACTCCGCAAAAAAAAATAAGTAACCATGCATGCATCAAGCAAACCAATGCATTCTCATCAGTTATTACACAGCTAGGAATGTCCCAAGTCAATAGAGGTGTAAAAGAAAAGCGGATTCTGGGCGACGTGATATGATAACGAATAGGATGAGGATCTGAAAATATATTGTTTTAATTCAGTTCCTGAGAATTAAGAATGAGCTTTAGGCAGATTTTATAACGAAAACATTATTTATTTTGACAAACAAAATGTATTTCCTAGAAGTTTCCTAGTATTACATGCTCAACAGCAACATCTGTTACAGTGAATAGAAAAAATGGAGGCCAAAGGTACCTTTCTAGCTTAGAGTCGCAATGATCCTTTAGACTATTCAGATTGTGACATAACAACTGTGTTATGTTGTCAGCACTGTGTGCAACTGTGTGCATATGTCAGCACACATGATCTATTAGATATATCTTGACAAGCAAAATTTACACCTTGCACTATGCTTTTTTCTGTCGTCACGGTCACGGTCGTCATGACAACCATGGTGTGCAACTCTACTGATGCGAATAAAAACCTTGATTGGCCCAACGGGCAAGGGCCTGTTACCGAGAAGCGCAATGGTTGAAGTTTGATCCATATAGTTCCATTCCCAAAGCCAAAGTGCGACTCAAAAAGGGCCATTGTCTCACGTTAGGAGAGAAATAAAAGCCATACGTCCCACTGCATTACTCACAGGATAATGGATTCATGCCCGCATATCTCTTTGTTCACAATGTGTTAAAGGATTTTGTAGCATTTATCACATAAACATTTCAAGACATTAACATGTTGCAAACATTACAAAAAACATGGTTGAAAAAACGAGCCAAGTGGCATGTATCAAATTCCTAGCAGTGAAAGGGGAATAAATGACATTTCTCCCTCAGGGAGCTTTGTGCTGGGAGGTGTAACGACCTTCGTGAGCAGACTTCAAATACAAAATCTGAGCTTTTCATACAGATTTCGAGAAAACTGGCATCACTGATGAAATAGTAAGCATCTGATGTAATGTGTGAAAAAAACAAAAAATGTGGGACCTTTAAGAAAGGCACACTTTTATCCATGTGATACAATCAACAACTAAAATTGACACACCAAACTGAAAGCTATTTAGGCTCCTCCCCCCACAGCCATGTATTGCATAAGCATAAAATTCCAGTCATAAACTCTGAAAAACATCATATCAGACATAAATGTAACTCTAAATTCCATTTATGTATATTCAGCACTCAAAATGTATCTGATGCCTGCCTAAATCCCAGCTTAGCCTTACAAATAGAAAAGAAGAGATCATTTGGGAAGTACATGTCTGAAAAGACCTGAAGAATCCCTATCAGTGCTGTTCTTGGAGTTTCCCTGCTGATAGTTCAAGTGTCTTCAACATCATGATACCCAGAACTTAGGTTGTAGCTATCTGGGCCTGGTGTGATAGTTTCTATGCATCCAGTGCATGTCCAAAAAGTTTTTAATGCATTGGTACTAGGAGGTGTAATAACCTTAGTGAGCAGATTATTCCATTCATTTGCCCCACATGCACAGAATGTTTTGTTACCATGTAGGTTATTTGCAATACACTTCTTATGCTTCGGGGGTGTCTGCGAGTGCTGTGCTATCCTGTGTCATGCTGGAACAATTTCTCAGACTGGATTCTTGGCTTGCCTGTGGTTACCAGGTACACCATGAACATGTCTCCTCAAAATTGATAGTATAAGCTGGGTAGCCTGAGCACCCTGACCCTTCATCATATTTTACATGTGGCAAACTGCAGACCAGCTTTGTTTCCCTCCTCAGTACTGTTTCTACTGCATCCTGCCTTCAACAATGCATTCTTACCTACTACAACTGCTATATTCAAGGTGGGGCCTGACCACGAACTCAAACAGCACAGACACAGTCTTGATATCTAGTGCAGCAAAATGCCACTAAATTATCACTAATACCAGTGAGCTAGTATTGCTTTTGAACTAGGATGGGAATGAAAAATTCCACCACGAAGACAGAACAGAAAATAAAAATTCAAGCTACAAAAGCTGGGGTCAGTGAGAGATGCTCTGGCAAACAGACATACATTGCTAGTTGGCATGGACATAATATCACAAGCATGACACAAATGCTGTTGTTTTTTTACATCTTAGGTCATTACACTGAAACAGAATACATCAAAGAACACCATTTTCATAACAGTAAGACAAGCACCAAAAACTATGTACCACCCATGTTTTGATTGCTGACCTTTGCCATTACTTTCCTGGGACCTTTTAATGCAAAACAGAGCAAAGGAGTTCAGTGACAAAAACAACAAAAATTCAACAAGCATAAGGCTCTCAAACAAAAGAAGTCTTGGACTCATGCACATCAATGCATCAACACATCACTAGATCAAACAACTGATGTACTTTGGTTTTTAAGAGGGGGGCAGGAAATACAAATATTTTGCCACTGTTGTTTGCAAAATACCTATGCTTAATTCCATGAAAGCAACCCAGCTAAGCCTGACCTCCATTTAAGTTTCATTAATCATCTTTAATGACTTCATGTTTGAGATTTTGGCTGCACTTTAAAAATGGTCAGGTCCAGCTATCTCCTGAACATCCATCCATATCATATGGCAATTACTATGCAGCTGAGTTTCCCTACATTAAAACATATAGTCAATATCCACAGTAGTCATTTGGCAGTCACCAATCCTGTCAACTATGGAAAGCATCTTTTTGGACCAGACATAACCAGACCAGGCACTGCAACAAATTTGTGAAAGATTAACAAAATTATGGGACAAACCAAGCAAATGACATGTCTTGTGAGCTCACAATTTGTCTCGTATACAAATTTTAACGGATAAAACATAAAATTGCCCAATCTGGTTAAAAATCGTGTTACGAAAGCAGGCATGGTTAACAGTCCCGTGTCCCAGAGTAGAAATTGTTGGTCGCTTAAAGGTATACTTCTTCCTGCTCCCTCAAACCCGAAGTCACAGTCTTTCGCATGGTTTTCTGACAGACAGGATCATCAACCCCCCCCCCCCCAACAGAATATAAATATCAATTATACCAACCTACAAGGCTAAGGAGTGAAGTAAGTAAAGACAGCTCTGCACGACGAAACAGTTTGAAAGCGAAAATTGCGGTAGCCAACACTTGTGTATTAGCTGCGCCAAGTCTGTCCCAAAGATACGTACACGAAATAATTGTGTATATTTGTTTCCAAGTCGCTAGAGACTTTTCCGACGAAATGTCTCAGGATAACCCTGGAAGTTCCAGTTGAATGGGATTTCCCAGCAATGCTGCCAACTCAAACGAATAATGCTACTAAATCCGAGGGTATGCCGGATATAGAAATGGCGCATTGCACGCTTTTCAACCTCTGAAAAAGCAAAAATGCCGCGAAGGGGGCAGTGTTGGAAATAAAAACAAATGATGCAACGGTGTTTTTCAGTTCGGAACGATGTCGAACATGATTGCGTTCCTCAGCGCAGAGGGCAGGAAGAGTGGGGTAAGAGAGAGTTGTTTTATTTCCGTGCAGTCAAACCCTGTGTGGCAAATATTCAAACTACAGAAGGTTTACGGGATCACCCTCAGCCCTCAAGCACTCTCGTCAATTGTTCCCGGTAGGCACTAGCAGGGCGAATCCAGGGGGGGGGGAGGTCCGGATCATGACTCCCCTTGGGCCCCTAGGGCCCCCACAGCCGGCTGAACAAATGCAGTTTTTCTACTCAGAACACAGCCAAATTGGACGTCTGGATTTCCAGGCGACCAATAACAACCGTAAGCGAAAGTGAATGACCCACGGGCATAGGTGTAGGGGCGTTTCAAGAAGTGTGGGGAGGTGGCAAACTCAGGGCGAACTTCAGGAACTTTGCGGGAAAACAAGCCCGGTGACCGAGGGGATAGAGATGGAGGTTGTCATCGCTCTTCATTCGAATGTCATGGCTACTATGCTAGATATGCATCTAGAGCTGTTTTTCACTGGTTCACAATCTTGCCTACTCGACTCATCAATGTCATTCGGCAAATAAAGCTATCTAGCTTCCCAAAATTATTCCTCCACTTCAACATTGTCCTTCCGGGGGAGCCGAGATTCCACGAGCAGGTGGGCCGTTGAGGAGATATCAGTTCCCACAGGGTACATGCCAAAATACGATCTGAACTTAGGCTGGTTATAATTTTGCAAGGGAATCGATGACTTACAGTGCGACAGATTTTTCATGCACCTTTATTTTGCTGGCTGCTTTTCAAGAGTCAGAATCTTGAAACTGCCAAGAACAAAATAACAAACTCCATAAAACTGGAGATTCTCCTTTAGATACCAAGCCACAGAATGAAGGTCCTTTTGTCATCTATTCTTTATTTGGGCCCTCCTCCCGCACGCCGTCAGTGACTACTGTCTTGACCCGGCTGCCTCCCGCATAACTGACTGGACTGATCGTATGGGTGCTTTGTTGCATATTTCTGAGTCAGGTTTCTACTAATTGGCATGCAAAACATATGTTGGACACCTACAACAGTATGTTTCCGATTTATCTTGTTACACCTCATCACCATCGAAAAAATTCTACGAAATGCTGCCTGACTTAGGTATGAGTTGACCTAGCGGACATTAAATTGCTCATCATTCAACATAGATGACTTGATCTACTTTTGTGTACGCAGGAGCGTAGCCAGAGCCTTGTTAAGGGGGAGCACAGGGTTGACAAAAGCCCCTTCACGGCGCCCCGTCCCCCCCCCAAAAAAAAAAGAATCCCCCGACATAGCTTGCTTGTCAACAAGGGACACGGTTTTCTTAGTGTTATCGCTATTTTTACCTTTTAACAAGAACAGAAACCAGAGGCTACCGTGAAATCAATTCTGTTTGCATTTTGAAGTCAATAAACTGCAGATAGCAGGCGTTGAACGACCGCATGGGATAAATCACCAGCGCTCTTAATTCACGATGGTTTAGTGAACTTTTTCTAAACTGACACAATTCAGAACCTTTGTCAAAATTTGCATCTGGGTTCTACAGACATCAAGGAGATCGTGAAGGAAGATAGCATGTCGATAGGTTTGATCGAAACTGGAAAATGAAAATTTGGTTGAAGTGAAGTTCGGATGGTCAAAAATGCGTATGAACATAGCCAAGCCATGTTTGTCTTGAAATGTTCAACACCCAGTCAGAATCGATTCTTGATACAATCTATGTAAAGTGTTTTTTTTTAACATCCGTGCTCGCAAATTTTAGCAGCAAAAGTCTCGGCACCAGGCGTTGCAGTCCCCATCGTCCGCGGATCGTTAGATCAGTGACTCACTTTTAGTCGAGGCCCATCGATGGACGAAAATGATGACGTTCTAAACTAATGACCTTTTAGACACTTACAGCAATTGATACATGTTATGTGACGTAGTCTTGAGCACGTGCACCCGCAAATCTTTGTAACAAAAACCTCGATGCCAGGCGTTGCAGTCTCCATAGGTCGCGCGATGTCGGTCCAGTAGCTAGTACTGAGCTGTGGCCAACGGGTGGACGAAAATGATGACGTCTCTGAAAAGTACCTTTGAGCGCTTCAGAACATCAAATCTTACATTTAGAAGGCCGTTTGGGCGAATATTTCACGTTTGCGATTTTATGCTGATGATAAGAACGAATTGACCCTTAAAGCACCGCGTGGTGGTGCAGGAAACTGTTGGGGAAACTTTGAAAAGTAAAGGTAGATTCTTTATTTTTCGTGTTTCTGTAGCTGTCAATCTGTTCAGAAGACAGATTAACAGATCTGGTGGCACTTGCAGTAGCCGACGCCGTTCGGTTTTACGGAAGCTGCAGCCCAGGCCATCGCCGTCCTTGCCCTGGAAGTTGTGGGCGGGTTTGTTCAAACCTTTTGATGTAGTTTTTTCAGTAATCCGTTCCGAAAAAGTAAACGTTCTCAGGCAAACATGGGATGGCCTTGTTCGTTTTCTTAAAACTCATTTCGACCCGCTCTGTTTAACAGCAATGGGACCCCACTCTACTTAACGATAATTAAACCCCCTATTTCCTTGAGTAGATTACCAGAGGCACATTACCATTTTCGGTCAAGGGCCAAAGGGACATTCCGTCCCTTCGCGAAATGTCTTCTGGCTGTCATTCTGTTGACATGGGACGGGATCTGCTGGTCGATCAGAGGCCATTAGAAGGATACACCATATCACATTGCCCCCCCATCCCTGACACGGGAGTCCTGACCCGCGCAGTTGGCTCCGGATCAGCACAGGAACCCACACTGACGCAACAACACCCCTGATCGCCGCAGGTGGTCCAATAATTGTCACACAGACTCCTGTTCCATGTTTTCTGTGTTCTTTTGAGATATTGAGGACTCCCTGAGCGTAGATTGTAGATGAAATGGGGTCCCAAATTTGTGCTGACATGACTGATCGATATTCGTCGTAAAGTATTCAAGATTCAATCCGAATTGATTTTTTATAAAGAGGTATGTAACATGGTTTTGAGCATGCGCGCCCGCAAGTAATGACGACCTCGGCGACCGGCGTTGCAGTCTCCATAGGCCGCGCGGCGTCGGCCCTGTGGTTGTGACATTAAGAGATGGCCAATGAGCAAGCGAAAAGATGACGCATCTTAAGAAACATGACTACGGGACTAGGTAAATCGGCATGTTAATGCAATGCAAAAGTAAGCTGAACACAATCTTTATCTGAAAGCGGGTGGCGGTTAACACTGCTCCCCCCCCCACACGTTGAAAAGTGGGAAGATGGTCCCCTGCCATCCCCCTGTTTCTACACCTATGCCCACAGGTAGTTAAAAATTATCATCCACTGATTGAGAGGGTGGTGAAGAGGAGGTCTTAAGACTGCTTACACTGTCTAGGAGCCCTACTGCTGTTTCCGGGCGCCCTACATGTCCACTTGTGGGGTCAACCTAAACGTTAAGGAGCCCTCTATGTTACCCTTGATTTCTTTGCATTTGCTCGGACAGCTCTGAACTATTGCTAGGGTCCTCCTTGCTAACATGCCGGAATCTTTGTCAATCAGGGACCTTCCACGGATTCTTTCATTCACCCGAAACGCTACATTCGCGAGAGCCGAGGGGGGCATATGTTGACATGCTGGGCATTCTCGGTTGCTCAGGGGCCTTCACGTTGGTCACGGTTAAAATACCGGCACACTCACACATTGCTCATGGGCCATCTACATTGGCCTAGGGCCCTTCCATTTTTTCTCACTTGCTTAGGACCGGCTTCTATTCTGGAGGCACGGTGGCCGGGACCCCGTTGGTCGATCAGGAGGGCTGCAGAGGGATGCATCATACACCGGCCCCCTTACCGACGCGAAAGGCTCTCAGACCGGAAGTTGATCCCGGATCGAGGCGGGGGGGGGGGGGGGGCTCATTAACGCCAAAGGATCGCTTACCGATAGGGGGGTCCAATTGTTGACTGATGACTCCAGTTCGGCTCATCAGGCCCCTGATCGAAATGGTATGGAGGTCCGGGGCCACATTTGTTCTTGGGCCCGCGGCTGACACAGGGCTCTTTCACCGTCTCATTATGAACCCTTTCATTACAATCTATCCTATCTCTTTTCATTATCAGCAGGCTCGGTCACCTGAGGCGGTTTCCTAATGTTCGGGGTCACGTTCCTGTCCCTATTCAGAAAACGGAAGCACGGCCGACTCGGGACCACCACCTGCATGGGTCCCCTGTTAGGTGTAGGTGTCCACCCGACACCCCTGTAGGGAGCGTTGTACCTGTCAGGGGGCCAACGCGCCTAACTGAGGGTCCTGCGCTCGCGCAGGACCCGAGCTGACCAAGGGAGGCCCGGGCGGCACACCGGAACCGACGATCAAAGGTCCAGTTGGAGGGCATAAGGGCCCGGGGAAATGGCTGCAGGTCACATAAAAGATCTTGGCCCGTAGGGCAGTGATCTGAAAGATCAGTCAGAGTTCCCTCCTTTCACCGTTTGAGCAACCCCTGAGACAATGAGGTGTCTAAGTCGGTCAGAGATCATGAATACCGAACAGTCAGCCCCATGTCCGTCTGAGTCCTTGAGACCCATTTCCCAGGAGAGACGAGGCCGGGGTCCGCGATTTACAATGTTCGGAGTCCCTGATACAATGAGGGGCT